AAGAGAGAGAGAGAGAGAGAGAGAGAGAGAGAGAGAGAGAGAGATAGAGAGAAGAGAGAGAGAGAGAGAGAAGAGAGAGAGAGGAGAGAGAGAGAGAGAGAGAGAGAGAGAGAGAGAGAGAGAGAGCGAAGAGAGAGAGAGAGGAGAGAGAGAGAGAGAGAGAGAAGAGAGAGAGATAGAGAGAGAGAGAGAGAGAGAGAGAGAGAGAGAGAGAGAGAGAGAGAGAGAGAGAGAGAGAGAGAGAGAGAGAGAGAGAGAGAGACACAGCTCCCCGTCCGCAAGGAATTTGTGCGAGACCATTGCCCGTCGACTAGCACATGGTGGTGCGCACCCACTTTTCAGCAACACCATTTAGTTGCGTCCGCCGCTGCGCGTTTTTTTTTTTGCAATCGACGCACTGTGTTTGTAAGTCTCCGTGCTGCGTAATAAACGGAGCAACACGTTTTGTAGATGGTTGTGGCCTTGTGGAGATGCGTACCGAACTAGGGCTGGTTTTGGTGGCAATGTTGTCCACAATTGATAAATTCAGTGAAGGAAGCTTTCTTCCATTCATCCGCACTCATGGAGGCTTTATTTTGCATAGCGATTGTGGACAAGATCATGTGAATAGTAAGTACATAATGCCTATGCTTACTAAGCATATCCTGAGCGCTGAAGGTGGGACTGTCATACCTTAGCCTTCAGAGCTCAAGGTAACATGTGGAGTGAACATGAGCAGTCATTGAGCACTGAAAAAGGGCCATTCATGGATCCAATCATAAGCAGCCTGCTGTACTTGACATTGAGAACAGGCTCTCTCTACATAACTGATCACTGAGAGTATGTTTCTATGATACAATTTTATGCAGGCTAGCTGCTGCCATATGACACAGTGATGCACAAGATGTATGCAGCTGTGCTATCCAAATGAAATCGATTTTAGAGTATAATCCTTGTGTCATGCTGTGCTATTTTATTAGCATTCACTGCACATCATAATGTTTTCAACCAGGGTAGGCACTACTTCAATAAGTAATGGTCCTAAGGTCAGTGTTTAAGTAAGGTGTTTAGGTGTAAGGTGTCAGTGTTTAAGGTCACTTCAATAAGTACTGGTCCTAAGGTCAGTGTTATAATCTATGACACAAATGCTTGTGTTGATTGCATTGCCAAATTCATCAAGGACCTATCCAAATTAAACTCAGTCATACATTTGTTCTTGGCTTTGAGAAACTCATGCAAGATTGTTTGTGTATATTCGTGTTGTAGATTGTGCATTTTCTGTGTATCTTTTCAGTGTCGTGGATTGTAGTTGTACGTTGTACATTTTTGCTTCGAGAAACTGAACTATATGATTACATGCCAGAAATGTACAATTTATGCCAAAAATATACAAGCTTCTGTATAGAGAAACTGGCTACAGGTGGCGGATCAATCGCTTAACGTTGAAATGCAAGTCTACATTGCACTACAAGTGTATGCATTTCTGACCAGGTTTCTACCCACAATACTTGCTTCTAGTCAAATGACATGAAGCTGTAACCTAGGGAACATTTCCACGATATTCACATAACAGAAAACATAAAAAGTGCCTTCTTAATATGTCCTGGTGTGTGCATGTTACATCCCATCATACACTTTGCAGCACACAAAATTCATAAAACCGGCCAACCGCTAACAGCCGACAAAGCATACCACAACCGTTATGATCTAGAGGTGGATGAATATTTAAAAAAAAAAATGAATTTCACATAAAGGGAAACCAATACCCTGCCTTCGCACAGAGAAAAAAGCACACCAAATGTCTTATACAAGTTAAACATTAACTATCACACTCATGTCAAACATATTCATCTCCAAGTTGACACAATAAAATTTCAAACGGAATCCGACACAGCCAGTAAGCTTGAACACAAGACACAGTAACACGAACACCGGAACCACTCTAACACTGCCCCACAACCATTTCTCGTGACGAAGAAACCTTCCCAAAGCCGACTCAGATCACGCCTGAAAGCGGCACCATCGGCCGGCGCGCCGCACCCGGCGCCAGGCCGCGGCGGCCACCTCACCTGTCTGCAGCCGGCTCTTGAGCACGTCCGGCGCGATGGCCACGGCCCAGTTGAGCATGCCGGCCACGCCGCCGGCCAGGAGGGTGCGCGCCGGCCCCAGGTCCGAGCGAGACTGGTGCGCCGGCGTCAGCAGCCGCTGCAGCACCTCGTACGAGCCGAAGTACATGCCCGACGCCGGCACGTCTGCGGCAGCGAGGCGACGGTCGGTCGGGGCGGGGCCTGGCCGGGCGACAGCTGGCCACGTGGGCTGAGACGACGCGCGGACGGGCGGGAGGGCAGGGCGGTCCATGCCGGGTGCGTGTGCTCAGGGATCAGGGATCAGCCGCTGCAGCACCTCGTACGAGCCGAAGTACATGCCCGACGCCGGGACGTCTGCGGCAGCGAGGCGACGGTCGGTCGGGGCCGGGGCCGGGCGACAGCTGGCCACGTGGGCTGTGATGACGCGCGGACGG